ACAGGAACAGTAGTTTCTTGAGCTACGCCGCAAGCAAGCTCTTGAAAAAGAAGAGGGCGCAATTCTGATAGGTGAGCGGACGGAGCGGATGGGAGAGGCTATGAGCCTGTAATGAGCAGAGTTTCTGTTGCATTCAAAAGAGAAATTTGAGATACAGGAAAAAGTCGGAGGAAAGATAAGAGAAGCCAAGATGCCGCGATGAGCGAATTTGCCGCTCGTCCTTTGGATGCCGCACCGCGATATGCACAGGTGTGCGCTTCTGCGCACTGACCTATACAAGCGGTCCTGGGGTCGGCCAGGAGGTTCACGTTGCGGCGGTGCGGCGAAACCCTGTCGCAAATGGCGTCATTGACGCGGAGGACGCAACCAGTCGCAATCTAATTTTCGCACGACACCGCAACGTCGGCTTTCTGACCGACACCCACTCCTCTCCCAAGTTGTGTGTTGTACCAACCCAGAATCTTTGAAGGCAGTGGGCACAATAAGTGGAGCCGGGCGGTTGTCGCCAACGTCACTAGTGGAAGGGCTGTGAGGTGTGACCAAACGCCCACTCGCAGCCCTTCCACCGATGACGCTGGCAATGACCGCCCGCCTCTAGCAATCTATCCTTCCCATTGCCCTAGCTCAACCCTTTTATTCGTCCCCCTATCCTTCTGACTGACGCACCTATGAAAGCCCTAGTACAGCACATAGTGACGTTAGCTCAGAGTAGTCTACACAAACCCTCACCTTCTCCTTGTTGCGCAGTTTTTCCAAGGCTACTCGTCGTTTTATTTCTTCTGGAGGGATTGTCGACGTAGTTGATAACATCGATGGTGCATTCGTCGTTCTTCGTGGTCGCCGCTCCACCTGCAACTCAGATTTGTATTTCTCTCGAAACGAATAACTAAAGCAATATTACCTCATGATGCTCGCCCGGGTGCTCCAACTCGGACGCTTCGGTCTCTCTGCGATCTAGTTCTTCCCGAGCACGAATGTACGCTTCACGTTCCGGTCGATGTTCAGTCTCTCTCTCAATCTCTCTGTGATGGACAAGTAGAGGGCATTCGTCACCAAGCCGAACTGCCTTCTTCCAGGAGGAGCTGGTCCAGTTGTGTGGTAGCCTCTCCCAACCAGTTCGTAAACCGCTCGGATTGGAAAGCATCTTCGCCTATCCATGGATTATACGCAGTTACATTATAGAGTCAGGAAAACATGTACAGTCTGACCCGCTGCGGATGATGATGCGTGTCCGCGCGGCTGTTTGACGCGGGTGAGCTGGGTTATCTGCGCGCTGTATTTACGCGCGGGTCAAACCCGTTTTTTTTCTTTTTACTTTCGGGAAGTATATTAGGTTGTCCGGAAAGTTCTTAGCGTTTTGGGTGTTTAACTTTAAACGATCATAACTTTCTTAACACTCATCGGATTTAATCCAAATAAGCACATTCAGAATTCAGCGACCACTTTTGCCAAATGGGCAACGCAGTCCTGAGAAATCCCATCAACAGAAAAAACTGGAATGTCGGAGAATCGAGCGAAAATCTGCTGAAGGTCTTGTTGCCTGGTCCTGTTTGAATGTAGAAGTATTTTCAAGCAGGAACAGGTTCTGAAAATTCTGAGAGGAAGGTGACACTTGGTATCGTGAAATGGTCTAAGAAATATCGGGTGGGGGTGAAGGTAAGAACTTTCACTCCGCAATCGTTTCAATTTATGGAATTATTGATTTTGTGAAACGTGATGGGCGTCGCGTATTGTTCTATGTCAAAAGAATCGGACGCCTTTTGTTTTGATAAGTGTTGTGGCTGCAGCTGACAATATTTTCGGTACATTTGGTCGGTTTGTTCACAGTAGGGTTCTGCTGTGATGGTTTGGCCTGGTGATGAAAAGTTATAGTGGATTACAACAGCCGATGACCACCAAACCTGACCAGAATTTTTTTTTCGCGAGGGTTCGGCTTTGAAAATTACCTCGGTGGTTCCTCCAAATCCAACCACTGTCCGGAACGTCTCCTGTTATCATACATGATCCATTTTTCATCACAGGTGACCCAAATTCCCGTTTCCAAAAACGGGTTTCAATTCTTTTTGGCGTCAAAAAGCAGTGAAGACAGGAACTGGCGAGACATGCCTGATTCCTGCCGGTCACTTGGTGCACTCCGATTGTGGGGCCAGCCCAAATTGTCGAATTTTTTTTTTCACCTTCTCTCAATATGCGTTTTCGCAAGACATCTGCAACAGTGGATTTGCCAAGGCCTAGCTCTTCTGCTATCTCTCGAACTGTTTGGGATGGGTCAACCTTCAAAATCCCCCTAAAATCCTCGTCAGATATTGCTTTAGGTCGACCGCTATGCCCCTATGAGGCTCACCTTCCAAGGACTGAAATTTCCTAGGAATCGACCCATTTTTGAGCCCATTGCGGCACAAATGTGCTTTCTCTAGCACTATTGGGCCTCCACACCTGGTTAATTTGTTGAGCTGTTTCGATTGCGGATTGCCCCAATTTATAGCCGAAGAAAAAAATCGTCCGAAGTGCTCTTTTCACATGCTTGAAAAAATCTTGAAAAAAGAGGGTTTATCAAGCAATGGTGAAACGGCAATTATACCATCAGATAGCGCAAGAAATTCTCTACAGGATTGTGCCCTACTGAGAAGCAAGGCAGAATGAGTTTTTAATCACAGTGAATGTACAAAGATTAGGTGCACAAAACGCTAAGAACTTTCCGGACAACCTAATTCATCAGACCTGCATCACATCGTGTATCAGTCAGTCAGTCGGTTTTCACCAGCTGTTGTCACTTACCCGCCTACACCTGGTGGAGAATGAGTTTGGCGGCGTGCAGACGCAGCCGCGTGGACACGCCTATCATCCGCAGCGAACTAGGCTGTGCAATGTGGTATAAACCAACCTCATTCTTCCGGAATTCTTCCTCTTGGCGTATCTCTTCATGATCCACATCCTCCTCTGGAATTGTGTCGTTCTCAGGTTCAGAATTAGATTCCTCAGTTTCGCTCTGAAATTCGGTACAAGGGTCATCTGAAGGTACTGAAGCCAAACATGATAGAATGCACTGAAAGCCTACCTCTTCTTCGTCATCATCTTCACCTGATTCTACAAAGTCAGCTGTGTTAACATGTGCATTGAAATTTCCGCTGTCGTACGCCTGCAATATCAAGAATAAGAATGGTGACTGATGAAATGACACAGGAAAGCACCTTGTTCAAGTCGATGTCCATTTGCTTTGTGAATCCGCTGGCTTCCAATTCGACGTCCAGGTTGTATTTACGTTCAATATCCGAAAATTTCGGATATTCATCACAATCATAGTCAAATTTTCGTCTGAAAAAAGTTCATGGAAAGACTAACTATCAATACAGGTGGCCAACGTTCTGGGAGACAGGTGGCCAACGTTCTGGGAGCGTTTTGGGCGCCGATTGATACCTAGGTTTCCCCTTCGCTCAAAACGTTTATCTTGATCGTAGTGTTAGAAGTGGGAAAATATCGTCAAAAAAGCGAACCCGATGTAGATTATTTACTTGCTTGAAGAATGGTAGATGATTTACTTACTTGAAAAATGTTCTCACACATTCGACATCCCGATTGAAGTAAAACTCCGCATTCATGTGGTCAATCGACACCATTTGAGGAAAGTCTATCACCACCACTTGTTCACCCTGAAAGTATATGGAATTTTAAACCAGGGCTCATCATCCTTTTGTAGCAAACGCAATGGGGGTCGATATCGGACCTCAAAAAAATTTTTTCTCATTTTTTCTCGCTGATAATTTTCCCGTTTCACGAATCATTACCACATAAACGAGAGGGCTTATGAAGGGGTGTGGATCCCAGCACAGCCAGAG